GAGGCAGAGAACAGCAGGAGGCAGAGAGCAGCAGGAGGCAGAGAGCAGCCGGAGGTAGAGAACAGCAAGAGGCAGAGAGCAGCCGGAGGCAGAGAGCAGCAGGAGACAGAGATCATGACATTATGTGCTCTTTTAGAGCGTTTAGAGTTTAGAAACATTGTTTCTAGTAAAATAAACTACTACTTGTGCTACTATTCCCACTTGGCGGTTTTTCACTTATTGTGGGGCTTCTAGGTATGGATCCCCTGCGATAAACGAGGGACTACTGTATTTTGCTTTTAGAAAGCCCCACCACAGTATTATAGTCAGTTTGTACAATCCAGTATGGGCCATGATTCACAGAAGTAGCCAGACAGGAGAAGATCGAAGTATAAAAGTTTGGAAACGCCCTAAAGTTTTTCACAGATTGATAAATAGCTTCAAATAAAAAAAACCAAAAACCTTCCTTTAAAAAGACTTGCTAATTATCAAGCAATCAACATATTTAGTTAAAAATCTCCTCCAGCTACATTTTGTTTTAATTGTTTGAAGCTGTAAATATGGAATTACTTTGTATTTTGTCCTCTCACTGCTTTATGTATTTTAACTTAGTTTTTGTTAAATATTTCAAGACACAGTCTCATCTGAGCTTAGATTGACCTAATTTGAGGCATATGGAGAACCAGATTATCGTTTAATTGTTTCCTAATACACTGACACTTTTAAAAGGTGTTTTATTTTGAAGGGGGGGGGGGGGGGTAAAGGTGAAAATCCTGGCTGGCAGGCATTACCACAGGACTTTTAGCATCACCTTTTTACACACAGCTAGTCCAGGAAATTAGGACATGAAAGTTCACTTTCACTCCAAACATGTTAGCAGAGGCTTGTACAGTATTTGTGTCCCGCTTCCAGGAAAAACACATGACTTTACCATGTGACTACGCAGGATCACAACCTTTGCATGTCGTTTTAAAATAAATGTTTCTATGCATTTTTCAATAATGTAAAGCAAGACATTTTTTAATGTATTTTTTTTTTTTTTGTGTGTGCTGTTTGTCATTGTGGCACCTTTATGCCATCTCATCTGTTAAAAAGGGTGAATCGGGTTTCCCGGGTGCCCCAGGGTTAAAGGTAAAGTCATTTTTGAAGCCTCTGACACTTATTACATGGTGTCATACAATCTATGAGCAATAACTATCTTCCTTCATTGCAAAGGGCCAGGCTGGAATCCCTGGTGCTCCTGGTATTCCTGGCATTCCTGGCAAGAGGGGCTTTCGGGTAGGCCTGGAATGGAATGAACTTCCTGTCTGGTTATGCTCGAGTCACCATTTTTGTTCATCATTATCTGGCTGTCATAAACCCATTGTCATTGTGTTTAATGTTTGTGACTTACAAAACATTCCAGTTAGGTTCCAGAGGCCCGGATTTATTAATAATATACAACAACTGGTTTAAGCTTCAACTTGTGCACATCTGGTTGATACACCTACCTGATGTTTTTCAGTGTTGTAAGCAAATAACACGTCAGTATTCAAGTGCAAAAACACCCATTAAGTTCAGCCGGTGTGAGCTGTCTGCACTTTCTTTGCATGATATCACAGTTGTCCTTGCTGTACAACTGAAATACAAACAGCTTACACAAAGTGACTGAAAGACAGAGATAAAAGTTTTTATCTCCAGATTTCTCCATCTACAAATTTTAATGAAAAGATTCTGAGGGAATCTTTAAAACGGCACCAACATCTCACTCTGTTAAAAATGAATCATATTCGGGAAACATTTTAAAATCAATATGTGACATTTATGCTTTTATGTCTCATTGCATTCTCATATTCTATCTAGTAATTAGAAAAGGAGGGTTGTTTGCTTCCAACCTGAACCAGGGGGTGCTGGGGGTGGGGGGTACAGTGGGGTTCCACAAAATAATTTCAGTTTTATTTGTTAACCTTTAATGCACTATTTGTTAAAATGTTTATAATTGTGAAGGTTTTCTCATCTAAAGGTAAACTAGCAATCACAAGATTGTATGCACCATGTTGGCAGCATTTTTGTAAATGCAACATTGTCTGATGTTCTTCACTGGAAGAGAGGATGAAGTATCTCATGCTTGACGTGTCTGGACTTTTATGTCAGCAACAGTGCAGCAGATTGTCCCTTCTCCTCTGTCTCTTTTCCTGAGAAGCTTTTACCTCCAGCTCTAAGGAGACACAATGCTTTTTTCAAACTACATGTTACAAACTCTAGTCTTTGAGATTTACACACTTTCAGCTCAGGCAGGTGTTTTTTTAATAGACTGCTGCATATTACATTTTTTATTAGTGGGCATTCCATCCATGTAGAAAGATGCTGTTAAATTAGTAGCAATGTTGGGAAAGTCAGGTTTGCTTCTGATTAATGTTAGTAAAAACCTCCATAACCCTTTGGTGAATCAGGGTATCAGTGATGGTCAGACCCAAGTGCCGGCAGACACGGGGCGCAGGAAGTAAATAAAAAGCAATTTATTTAACAAAGAAAAACAAAAGCCTGACGTGGCAACAAAACTTACGTGGCAAATGGAGTGAACAGTAAAACAACAGACTGAGGGAAACACGAAGAGTCTTTAGGGTTTACAGAGCAATGAGCCGACGTAGAGAACAGGAGAGCAGAGGAGATGGAGAAATGAGGTGCACCACCTGAGTGAAGTTGGCCCCTCCACCTTCTTCAAAGCTAACATAATTGGTGTCAAACATTTGTGCTACATTTGTGCAACAAAACTTTTTGTTTGTGCCGATATCATTTTAAAGAGATTTAAATGTTTCCAGGGGTCATCAAAGGTCAACAAATATCTGTCCATGTTGGAACTGTGAATTTCATGTTAAAATGATCAGGTGCTGAACTATGAACATGAATAGATTAATTTTAACATGGATGAAATTAATTTTGAACTAGGTCTTATTTAGGATGAACTGGTACAACGCCTCCATAAAACAAACCCAATGACCTGCATTTTGGTTTCTGACGACCAGGGGGTGCTATCAAACACGGTGCTGTTGTACTTTTGTACCTCTGGAAACATTTATTAATGATAGCGGCACAAACAAAAAAAAATGTTGCTGCACAAACCAGCACAAACGTTTGACACCAATTTTGATAGATTTGAAGAAGGTGCGCAATTTCACTCAGGTAAGTGCACCTGCGAACTGGTGAGAGTGATGAGAAGGTGACAAATGTCAGGGAACAAAGTCAAACACAAGAAGCAGAAGGGGAATAAAGACAAAAGAAACAAACAGCAACAGATTATGTCACATATATTTTCATATATTTTGGCGTTTACTTTCTATACTGTTGTCCTTCACCTTGTGTTGTGTGGTGTGACTCTGTGTAACAATTTAAATATAATATTGGCCAGACTTCAGGGGTATCTGAGGCAGGCTTGAAACACAAGAGTCAGGGTGGCTTCTGGGTAATACCAGATGGCTAGGCCTCAGACTGACGAAGCCTCTTGGATAAGGGGCGAAACGTTTCTTTTTAACAAAAAAAACGAAGTCCAGATGACATGATTCAACCTTTTTTGTTGTTATATACCTGGATGACTGAGAAAACAAACTTTGTGTATAATATTGGCAGTTTTGATGGCTGGTGTTTACTGTTTTCATGTCATATGAGCTAAATTAATTTACTGGTGAGGATTATGTGATGCTAATAAAAGACCTGGAAACAAAACTACTAATCTGAGCTCAATCCCAACTACTGGTGTTGTCTGTGTTTCTGTTTGGAGTTTCTCCTTGATGCATGGTTCTGTGCTTGCTCATGAAACAACAGTGTGCAGCTTCATGTGAGTTTGATGTGAAGGTGCGGGAGTGTCAACGTTCATTCATTCATCATATGCTATGATTTGTTAACACAAGGTGCCCAAGATGTTGTTATTATTATTTATACTGTGGAATTTCTGTAATTTTGTCAAAAGCCATTTGTTTAAAAAAAAAAAAAACATTTTTCAGAGTTTGCTTAATTTAATTATTTATTAAGTGAACTGAATTAAGTTAACTATGTTTCTTTTTATTTATTGAATTGTTTACTCTGGAAACATTTACTTTTGAGACAAATATCTGTGAGAATAGCAAGAAATGAAGATAAAACCTGTTGTGTTGTTTGTCTCTGTCACTGAATGCCATTAGATGACATGTTGTTGTTTATGTTTACCAGGGGGAGAAAGGAGAAGCAGGAATGGCTGCCAAAGGAATCAACGGAGAGCCTGGTTCACCAGGACTGCCAGGCCTAAAGGGGTCCAAGGTAAATGGAACCAGTTCAACAGATTCATGGTGTTATTGTATTTTAAATGAAACTGTAACAAATCATGTCAATGAAATAATCAAACGTTCATTTGTATTTCAGGGTGAAAAAGGAGATCAGGTAGGAAAGAAAGATTAAAGCACAATTGTGAAATGACTAAGAAACAATGTGATGTGAAAAAATAAAAGTGATTATTTTATATTTTTATACCAAATATTGATGTAAATACCACATTATGGTCTTCAGTAATAGTACTTGTAGACATTTTTTCAGTTTAACTTTCAATTTGTTTTTTTTTTTCTTTTTAAAACATCTAGGGAGATTTAGGTCTTGAAGGGCCAGCTGGACCAAGAGTAGGTCTTCACACATAAATTAATGTTTTCATCAAATTGCATATGCTGCTATAAAGAGGAAACCCTTTCTGAATGTTTCCACAACATTTACAGACATTCTTTTTCAACTCTCAGGGTCCTTCAGGCCCAACTGGGGAGCCAGGAAGAGCTGACATCCTAAACAATGAAAATGTATGTCTCTCTTACACATTATCATTTAGAGATATTTATCAGTGCTGACAAAAAAATCCTTCTTTACAGGATATTCGCAACATACGGCTGATGGTAAGCATTTTCCAGAGTTTGTCACATGTATAGACACAATACTGTAGCCACAACCTTTAGTTACCTTATTAACAAAAATGCTTTCAAAACAGAAAATACAATAATGCCATGTGAACACTAAGCTGAACTGAGCTGAACAGCTTCAAACATATAAGCGCAGTAATAAAGCTTTCACAAATAAAACAGTAAATTCACTAAATCAATATTTTCCTATCTCATTCTAGGGTCCCCCTGGATTACCTGGGCCTCCAGGACCCCCTGGAGTCCCTGGTTCAAAGGTAGGAGCCATTTTAGAATCACGGTTGACACAAAATTATGTTTGCAATCTTTTTCTTTAAATACTTTACTTAATAACATATAAATTGATTTTGGGGGGACATGGGGAGACTTTTTTGTATTTTGCAATTTTTGTTTTTTGCATGTTTGTTGATCCAACATTTCTTTAATCTAAGGGGGAAGTTGGTCTACCAGGCCCTCCAGGACTGGATGGAGAAAAGGTAATACTTTATTAACATCAGTTAATATTTATCAGGTAAAATGAAGGCTTACATAAAAAATATAAACTCAGATTTAGAGGTTGTTCAAAGAGCTATCTACATGTTAGATTAACTATTATTAACCTTTTCACAAACTCACTTCCAAACACCTGGACTATTTCTTCAACAATATTCTCCTCTACCCACTACCAGACATAAAACAATGATCTATGTATCCATCCATCCATCCATCCATCCATCCATCCATCCATCTATCTATCTATCTATCTATCTATCTATCTATCTATCTATCTATC